TGCTTCAAGTTCAATGGAATCTGGAGCCCCTCTTCTCATCCCTATCCGAGTGGTAGGGTATTAGTGATCATATTAGAAATACGTTCTACGATATCATATGCCTCGTTATAAAACTTATCCAACAAGGTTCCATTTATCTAGGTGTCACTTACCATTCTTATATTTTTGTTTAACCCGTTATAAAATATTTTCATCTGAGTCCAATGCTGGAAACCATGCATAGCACATTTGCGAATAAAAAATCTTTGTATCACTCTCATGCCTCGTACAAAGTTTCGTCATTTTCTTGCCTGAGAGATGTTATACACTCCTTAATCTAGCATTCATATTAAGTGGATTATACCTGAGTAGAAACCTCTGGCATAAGTGATTCCAAGATGTGACTGAGCCTGATGGCAAGGCATTAAGCCATCCTCTAGCTTTATCCCATAAAGAATAAGGGAACAACTTCAATCTTAACGCTTCTTCAGGAACACCTTGTGGTTTAAATGAGTCACATACTATCATAAATAGTCGTAAATGTAATTTTTGATCTTCTACTAGCATACCTTCTAATTGTCCCACAATTCGGAGCATTTGCGATATAGTTGGATTTAATTCAAATTGTGTAGCTTACATTGGAGGTCTGACAATTTCAAGATTTAAATCATCCAAGATAAGAACCACATGTTCACGGATTGGTCGATCTCGATCATCACACTTGGCAACAATAGGAGGATATTGGGCAACCAAATTACCCTACTCATTCAAAATAGGCAGGCCATCCCCCCTTGAGTCATGTTGCACAGTTATCTTCTTCTCCTCCGAAGAGTTTGTTCGATTACCCTACCAAAAGGATAATGATCTTCGGCATGAATGCCTCTTCGCTTACAATAGATGATGAACCTGTTGATGGAGAAAACTCAACAGATTAAATAAAAAGAAGAAAAATTCAATAACTGAAATAAATAATATTAATTGTTAATCTCTGACAAAGGTGTCAAAAACTTCTTGCATGTAAAATAATGCTATGGAAATCTATGTAAGTATACACGTCGAATAATGTATTAAAATGGACACAGTGTCGGTTGTTGAACCAAAAGGATTAGATTATCTGATCTGCTAGATATTGTAAAAGAATGAGAGTGGTTTGCAGAATAAATTAATTAAAAAAATGCGTGAAATAATAAACAACAATCTAAATTAGGAACTAAAGCTGAGAGTGATTTTAATGGTTGGAATTACTAGATATTCTTCCTTAATTGTTAAGGTATGATATGGAAAAATTACCCAATTTCTCTACTGTTTGCTATGGTTCTAATGTGAACCGTCTCCGTCGATGACTAGTTCTACGGTCACTTCCCCTTAAAGGCTCTATGTCTATAGATATTAGTTAAGTGACACTAATGGAGTACTCCCTATCTCAACATGTAAGACGTGTCCTCTATTTCTAAAGAAACCACGAGAAATCTGTTGAGTCGCCTCTCACACTACCCTTCCGATGTTGAGATTAATCTAAGTATCACTAAAAAATCATCATTAACTTAGTGAGATTGGCGTTAAAAACTCCAATTGAGTAAAACAACAAATTACAAGTTAAGAATCATCCATCAATATTAAAGAAATCATCCAAGTAATCTCAAGCCTAATGACTTTGTTCATGCCCCAAAAATAATGAAACATCCTCATCGTTTGCAACATCATGCACTTTCCACCAGAGAAAAACAAGAAAGAAACAAATAGAGTGCTAAACTAACAGTTCATAATAGCATGCTTTAATTATAAATGCAACTATTATGCACCCAAGCACAACCAATTAGGCCTGTAAACGAACCGAACGCACACGAGCGGAGGTATGTTCATGTTCGTTCATTTAATAAATAAGCGAACATAAATGAACACGAACATAAACGAACAAATTTTTTTTTGTTCATGTTCGTTCATTAAGGAATATAGCTTGTAATATGTGTCCAATTCTGACTTGACAAATGTAAAATTATCAACACTTCTAATATGTTGGTCATATTTAGCTGTGCCAGTTTTAATACCTTTACCAAACTGACTGAATAAGGAGCTAACACTACTCTTAGAAGTACCACAAATACTAACACTTTGACTCCCATCAGTAGATGAAACAACATTTGCTGCTTTATGAGCCTTAACATATTCTTGGTACAACTCATATAAAATACATCGAACTATTTGCATTTCTCTCGAAGCCTCATCATGTGAATAAATAGTATGGAAAGAAAACTCAAGCAATTTCATTTTATACCTGGTAAAGAGAATGACATCAATTAGAACTCAAATAAATTCATTAAAATAAAATTCAAACAACTTAAATTTATATCTGGGATCTAAAATGACACCAATTGAAATTAACAAGTTACAAGTACCCCAATACTTGTCAAATTTTTTCTTCATTTTCATAGCCATAGCTACCATGTAATCACTTCCTCCTAAAACTACTGCATCCAATGCTTCTTTTATCCCAAACAATTCGCTAAGAAATAAATTGTATGTAGGATATTCGAACCTATAATATTAAAAAAATAATTAGTAGTAAATTCTTTGTATTAAAAATTAATAAAAAGGAATCAAGCTATACCTGAAATGATTTTTGTAGCTTCATTGAAAAGTGCCAAGAATGAGCAAACCTCTTCAACTTTTTTCCAGTCTTCCTCGCTCAGTAAAGTAGTGTATGTAGACTCTCGATCGACATAATTCACAAACACTTCTTTGAACTCTAAAGCAGTAGACAACATAGCATATGTAGCACTCCACATGGTACTAACATCTAAAATCAAGTCCTTTTTTGGCATTGAGAGTTGTTTGGCGAGTTAACTAAAAATATACAATCGACCCGGAGAGGCATTGACATGTTTCACACTCTCATGAACATTATAAATTATGTCTTCAATTTCTCCAAGACCATCCTGAACTAACAAATTAAGAATATGTGCACAACACCGCACATGGAATAATTTTCCACCAACATCAAGTTTCTTCTGAAGATTCAAATTTTCCATCAATTTTCTAGCCACCGCATCATTAGTCTTAGCATTGTCCACTGTCAAAGTCACCACCTTTGTCTCAATGGTCCACTCCTTTAGACACTTAAAAGTGAATCATAGATACATACTCCAGAATACGGTGGAGGCACGTCAACAAAACTTAATATGCGTTTGTGAAGCTTGAAATCAAAATCTACAAAATGGCATGTAACTACCATATAATGGATGTTTTGATTCCATGTCCACATATCTGTAGTGATGCTCACACGCTTGACAGAATCCAACAATTTTTGAACTCTTTTCTTCCCAATCTCATAACTGGAAATACAATCTTATTTAACAGAACCACGTGAGATCTTGTTAAATCCTGGATTTTCTTCTTTCATTACCACATTAAATAGTCCATACTCCACAAAATTAAAAGGTAATTCATGAACCATGATCATGTGGGAAATAACCTTTCTCATCTTTTCATTGTCAAACTTCCAATTTCGAACTATAGATGAAGAATCTGATTTACCAGGCTGCACTTTTAAACTTAATTGACCTCTGTTAACCACTTTCAACTTTGACAATCACCATATGCCTATGCAACGGCGTGGTGGTTCCATATTTCATTTTCTTAAACTTTTCTCCACAATGGCTACATTCACACAAGTCAGTTCCATCATGCAACTTTACCATTCGGAAATGTTCCCAAACTCCCGAAGTCTTCTTTCTCTTCCTTCTAGTGAATGGAGTTGGTTCTTCATTGTTGGTTGCATCAACGTGTTCTACACTAGCTGTAGCTACTGCATCTACTTCTTCATTATCAGCTGTAATAAAAACAAAATCTGGATTTTGTGTACTTTCCATGTTGGAGTGTTGGTACTTGATTCAAATTTAGTTGATTCAAGTGGAGAATCAGACATTTGTGGTACAACAATGAGTAAATGTTAGCATTAGCAAATAAAATGATTTTTTTCTATTATCAAATTAAAATAGTAGCATATCAACTAAAATAGTATAGCTAAATTGATGTAAAGCAAACACAGCGGCAATGGAATGAAATCAACTTACAGTAGCGACCATAATAACTAAACCTACTAAAATATGGCATCATAACAGTACATAACACCAAAACTTCATCAATCTTCAACCCATCTCAACATCATCCAGTCCCCATATCATACTAACACCAATACAAACCAAGCATGTATATAGAGTTATAACAAAGTGGACAACAATTCCGATATACCGCAAATACAACACCAAATGGATACATCAACTCAGCAACAAAAACCATATTCATCGAACATAAACAACCTCCCCACAGTGGCATAAACGAAGGCCAACAATAGTCTTTCGCAACACTACACAGCACCAGCAAATCTCTAACTGCAGGAATAGGCCTTTCTGTCATTTTCGTTTTCTATTGAGCTTTTCCTTGACAAATATACTGGTATGAATATATCAATGCTAACTACTTTTATTTTCTCTTCCTACCGTGTATCTGATTTCATGTTATTCTGTTGAGAAAGGGATTGGTTTCTAGTCAAAAGGGTCTTACTTGTTCGGGCATTTCAGTATGCCATAGATTAACCAAACTACACATTTCCTTTTTTCCACGAACCAAAAATTAAAAACACAAAACATGCCATAAAAAATCCTTAACAAAAAACCAATCCACCACGTGACAGGGCAGGGCAGTTTCATGTTTTCCAACCTTGATTAGGCTATCATCAATACTAGTATTCTTTTCTGGGTTTATATCACTTTAGATTACTTGTATTCAACCAAGTGTGAAATCAAAAGAGAAAGACAGGGCCAGAAACATAGGAAGAATCTAAGAAACCAACGTTACGAAAGCCTAAAACTTTCCCAACTTCAACCATAGAGCAAAGCAATATTTTCGTGAGAAATAGATTTGGTCTCATGCGTGTCTCTATTGGGACTCCACACATTTCTGCATCTTCTTCTCCCAAGGTTGGAACTTGAAAGAGAGAAAAAAGTAAGAAATTAGTGAAGATGATAGGGAGATTACTCACATGGAAAGAAAGGGAGAACATTAAGAGGAGAGAACAGAGAAGAAGAGCCATAGCTGCAAACATATACTCTAGACTCCGAGCTCAAGGAAATTATAAGCTCCCCAAATATTTCGACAATAACGAGGTCTTGAAAGCTCTTTGTGCCGAGGCTGGTTGGATCGTTGAAGAAGATGGCACCACTTACCGCAAGGTTTCCTTTTCCCTTCACTTCACTTGTATGGAATTTTACTTTTTGAAGCTTGTTCTAAAATGGGTTTCTGTTCATCTTTTGATGCAGGGATGCAAGCCACCTCTGTTGGAGCTCGGAGCGACTTCGACCAACATCAGTTCATGTTCATCTATTCAACCCAGTCCAGAGTCTTCATCTTTCCCAAGCCCCGAACCTTTCTACCATACGAGTCCCTCATCTTCCTTATGCTCGAGTCTAACTCGTTTCGATTCAAATACCTCGACTCACCTCCTTCCATTCCTCCGCAACATTGTAGCCATATCCAGCAGCGCTCCACTGACCTCGCCACTTTCTTCCCACACTAGAGGATCTAAGTTCAAATCTGACTGGGACTCCCTAAGAGCAACTCTAACACGGATGACTGGGCAACGACGGGTGGGCTGGAGAAGACCGACTGGTCGAATGCACCATTCATAGCGGTGTACAAGGGGTTCCACATTGTTCAAGATTCCATAAAAAGTCCCTAAATTCACACCCCAAAATTAACAGACCAAAAAAATCAAATTATTTACCTTATGAAATCACGTTCAAGATGCCAAGATGAAGGGAAAGAGATGAAGCTCTATCGAATCATTGCACTTGAAGACTTGAAGTTCTGTCGAATCGTTGCAGAAATAAAAATTGTGGAGAGTGGGGAGAGTTGAGAATCAAGAACGGCTAAATGACGGGATGGAGAAGAGTTGAGAAAATATTGTTTTTTAGATTTAGGGTTTTTTATTACCGCTTAATCAGGCTGTAAAATTGGGTTAATTATGAATTTGGTCATCAAAATATCATATTAATTAATATTTTTAAGATACATACAAATTGGTCACCAAAATTGATTTAAGAATATTGGGTTAAACATAAATGAAAGCACATAAACGAACATAACTGAACGTTCACGAACGTAAATGAACGAACGAGACCTATGTTCATGTTCGTTCATTTAATAAATAAATGTACATAAACGAACTTCCCGTCGCACGGTTCGTAAACGGTTTACTGAACTTTCAGTTCATTTACATGCCTATCTATAGAGGAGTATACTCCAAAAAAAAGAATAGGAGTAAAAATGACCATTTAGGTAAACATTGGAGGCTCTTTTTGGTATAATGCCTATATTAAAAATGTAGGAATCAAAATTAATAAATGAAAAATATAGTGGCCAAAAGGGCAATTGTAGTAACCAAATGGGAACAAATATAAACATGGTAAAAGACAAGGAAAAAATGTGAATGACATGAAGCACAAGCAATAAAATCAAGTAAAGCCATAAGTAACATATAGGGCTAAACCAGAAATTATTAAAATGATATATCAAATGTATGAACAACATAAAACATAAGCAAACAAGTAAAATGGACTAAAATGAAAATGCTAAAAAAATTAAAGGCTCGGGAAAAAACTTCATTTAATGGCTAAAGTGTAACTATTACAAATGTTGAGACCCTTCCTACACAAATATCCCCTAACAAGTCACGCGAGTCCCCTCACCCTAAACAATGTCATTTGACGCTCCATATATAAGGCAAATCTAGGGGGAAAGATCTCATGTTGCAATTTTTCTCTTTTTGCCTAAAATGGAAACACAAACCCTCTACTTTTTTTCTTTATATTTAGAGATAGAAGAACAAGGACCACCACGCCGACCGTCGTAGACGGGAATTAGAAATGGGCGAAATGAACCACTTCGATCCTAAAACCCCTAAAATGATATACCTAACTCTAAAATGAACCAAAATAAAACCCTCGAATACTCAAAACACTCAAAGCAATGGCTTTAGACTCGCCCCTCTCCAAACAATGGCTCAAAGCCTAAATTCTAGAGGTAAATAAGTTACCAGTGGTCTGAAAACCCCTTTGACTCCGATGAAGTAATCAACTACGTTTTGTGAAGACTAAGGGTAAGTTTTAGGGTTCCTTTTCTTCTAGTTTTTTTCTATTTCTTTTTTTCCTCTGATTTTTCTCTCCTCCCTATCTTTGGTTTGGTTAGCTGCTTATATATCTCCAAAAAATTCCAAGGAGGCTCTTTTTTTTTCTTATTTAGTTTCTTTTCATCCTTGCGAGTGAGGGAAAAAAGAGGTGCCTTTTCCAGTTGATTCGTCTACGTGGCTCAATCAAGGGCTAGGAGAGGCCCTCGATATCTCATAATATTTTTGCGCAAAAGGATGCCTCTGCCACTACCATTGTTGTAGCATTTAGAGAGGCAGCTAATGTGGTGTGGGGATCAAAGTCTGGCATATTTTAGTGGTGAGAACACAAAACAACACGTTTATGAGCTAGAACGTTTGGTGTGTGTGCCACACGTGTGGGCAAGTCAACGATTGAGATTCCACAACATTTGCAGTTAATTCATATATTAGGGTAAAACACTAATTTTGGTTTAATCTAGATCATTTTATATGGTCTATATATGATGGCTCCCATTGTACGGTGATGGAAGGGTTAGAAAACCTTTATGCATTGCTGAAAGGGTTAGAAACCCTAATTTCTTCACGCATGGGGTACCATTGGATCTCAAATAGATCCAACGACTGATGATATGCAAGGCTTTGAGAAAGCTAGAAACGCTAACTGCTTGGGTCACATGTGGGCTTCTTCTATTGGGCTCATTTGTTGGGAACTTGTATTGGGCTTGCTTTGTAATTAATTTAGGCTTGAAGTGTTTGGACATGTAACATGTTAAATAAAAAGTAAATGATATATATATATATATATGTGTGTGTGTGTGTGTTTAATATTTAATAACAATTAATAATCGATATATATATATATATACACTTATATTTAATATAATAATAATAAACCATAGTAAATAACAATTAATGTTAGTAGTAATGATATAATATTATATTATAATAATACTAACTAGTAACAATGATACTAATGATTATAAAAAATAAGAATAAAATGGATCTCAGACAAAATTAGGTGTCTACAACTTCCTCTCTTTACTCGTTGTTGTGGAACAAGAACAGAGCAAAGAAAAATGATAGCTAATTTTGTTTGGTCATATCGTAACTTCATTTTTCTGGAGCTCATTGATAACCCCGTAAAAAGGTTATATTTTGTGTTTTTTCTTAGGTTATTGGTTGTTTAAAAGCTCATTTAACTACATATAGTTGCATTTAGGTCTATAAAGTTGCATTTGGTGGTTTAATTTTGCTGCAACATTTTATTGTTGAAACTGGTGTTGTGTAAGGGGAAAGGTCATGTTTTGTTGATGATGTGCAAGTAACTGATGCTAAAGGAGACAAGGTAAAAAGGTTGAAACAGAATTGGAGAAATGCTACAAATTTTAGATAGCATTTCTCGGTGTAGAAAAAGACAAAAATGATGAAGATATCTTTAATCGTTGCCAGTTGTCTAGATATGAAACCTCCTCTACCAGCTGCCCAACCTAAGAATATGAAGACAATATTTCCTTAGGTTAAAAAAGGAATTAGAGTGTTTTATTGTGAATTTAAGAGTCTCTTGGGAGTTACAGTGTTTTATTGTGAATTTAAGTTAAGAGTTCTTGGAAGTTGGACATTTTTTAGTATAAATAAGATAAGAGATGAAGAGAAAGGGGTGAGGAAACAAGAGGAAAAACAAAGTGCTCCGTTCTTTTATTTTCTTTATTTTCTTCCTCCTTTTGTAGTGTTCTCCATAGCCAATATCCAAGGGGATAGTAAGCTAGGCCTTTGAGAGAAACTAGCTTACAAAATTGGTTCAAGAAAACTCACAACAGAACTTGGGAGTTCTCTTCTCCTTCCTTGTTTTTCACTTATATTTATTTGTGGCTTTTGTAATAGAATGAAATATTATTCTTGTGGATGATATGTACCCCACCATGAACTAACATTATTGGGTGTGGGTTTGCTTCGGATAATTACATTTTAATTTTAATGAATGGTTTATACTTCTATGTTTAAATACTGCTTTGTTCATTGTTTAAATGTTAATAGCTTAGAATTATAAGAGATTTCGAGAGTTAGACATTTTCTAAGTTTTGATGTCTAATATCAAGAGAGTTAAGTTAGATCAACATGAAAATGGAGCTAACCTAGGATGACAAGGTTTTAAATCGCCTTAGAGATATGGAAAGGGTTTCAATGACTAAAAGGGGTAGAACTTAATCAATAGGACTGTATTGCAGTTTATACTGAGAGGTATTGTCGTAGAATTTTATCTGTCAGGTTCCTTACTAGAGATAACCTAGGATCACTTTAGTAAAACCCGACGAGCAGCATACTCATGGAAAATGTGAACCATTCTAGAGACAAGGCATATGATTCCTTAGTAAACCCAATCGTTTATCCCTATTGTAGCTTATTTGTGAGAGGTTCTCAAGTTATCTTATTTCATAGTCCAGTGCTTAACTTTATTTTGCTATAGCAATTCTTTGACTTTACTTTGTTGTCTGCCATAGCATTTCACAATCGATACTTCAATAATTTTCCACAATATTCTCACTCAATTGTTTATACTGCCATATATATATATTTAATTCATATATTTTTGGTGCATTAGCTTAACTTGGAAATCCCTTCAATCCATATAGAGATGATACTCACTACTACTATATTACTTGTTCAATTGTGTATACTTGCACAAATTTGCGTTTAATTTATAGCACTCACATACACAACAAGTTTTTGGCGTCGTTGTCGGGGATTGGCAATTGATTTTAAGTTTAGTTATTGCATTGTTTTCTTTATTTATTTTGTATAGATTTATTTGTTATTTTTGTTTACCATTTTTAGGTGTTGTGCTAGTGCATGACCTGAGGAAGACGTAAGGGATCCTTATTACATTTGGTATAAAAATCGAACACTTTTTTCATTAAAGGAGACATTTTTAAAGAGTGCAAAGAATCATGCAACATGGAAATTAACACGTAGAGGATTTTGAAGATCTGAATGCTACAACAATTCAGAATGTTGAAGTTATACTTTTCCCACATGTCATTAGAGATCACTTATCTCTTATTTAGGATGATCTTAGCCCTGATATTGTATCCCCTGAAATTTAGGTAGCCTAATTCGAGGTTAAGCCGATAATGTTCAACATGTTAAACTTGATCGGATAATTTGGTGGTGCGCCTCACGAAGATGCAAGCCAATATATTCATGCATTCTTGTATGTTTGTGATTCATTCAGGCAACAAGGTATGCATGAAGATGTGTTAAAGCCCAAGTTATTTCCCTATTCATTGTGTGACCAAGCAAGGGCTTAGTTCGGTAGAGTTCCATCCAGTTGGATGGAATCTTGGGCAGATTTGTGTACAAGCTTTTTGTTGTGGTATAATCCACCCAACATGAACACCCAACTTTAAAATGACTTAGCAACCTTTTATCAAGCTGATGACGAGTCAGTATATGAGTGTTGGGACCGATACAAAGGATAAGTCACCTGAAGAAGCTTTTGATATACTTGATAGGATAAAAAACAGT